TTATAAAACCTTATCTGTATGTGTGCTTTGAACATATATATGCCGCTCTTCTGTACATTGTAGAATGCAGACTAAAACTAAATTTATTCAACTGATTACATTTTGCATTGAGTAGTCTATGTGCATAGAGATAGAGGCTCTCAAAAGTTACCCCTACTGAAAATGAGTAGCACTGATGTGCTACAGTGGTTTGGCTGTGTCTTCTTATGCCAGTTCCTCTTATGCCAGTATGAACAACTCTTGGAGCTAAATGGAAATCAACCAGAAGTTTTGGAGGTTGGCAATTTTCCCTTTATTCTGAGACCCACTCAGGAAAGGTGTATCTATACCAATATAAACAATTAATATTCTTCATACCCTTTAGGATAAGTAAATAAAGGATACGAGGCCATTATTCAAAACATCTGATAACTTCCTGTGGCTTTTCAAAGAGGTCCAGCATCCAAAGATAACAAATGACTTGCAGTGAGGCTGCAGTATCTTCAGTAGCAGGACAGAATGTGGTTTCACTACTTACAGTCCCAGTTGTGTGTTTGAAACAGGCGTTGCATAGTTAGCATGTTCCAGATATTGTACTTGCCCCTTTCAGGTACTTTTGTCTTAACTGGATTCTCACTACAGCCTTGAATTATACTGGACTGGAAAACTGAGGCTTAGGATAGGGGAAGGCTTGCTTGTGGCCATACAGCTATTGAATGACTGTGGGCGTTTGAAACCAGGGCTACTGAGCCCAAATTTCGTTAGTCCCTGGTGTCTCTCCACGTGTGGTTAGTGTGTCATTAACATGTTCTTTTCATGTGCCGTTTGCCTTTTGTTTTTCATTAGACACAGAACTATTCAATAAGTTCTGTCTCATTGTTACTGTTTGGTCAGGTTGACTCATAGTCTTACACTGCTCCTCTTGCTGAGGAGCAAGGGAAAGGTAAGAATTTGGGAGGCTGGGGTTATGTAGGGACTATGAATAAGAAACGAACTGTACACATTTCTAAGTCTGTTTCTGAAAAAAGGGCATGACTTCAGTTTGGACCCTTCATCTAAATTTGAATCTTCTTCTTGTCATGATCAGTGTGACCACATATTTTCTTTTCTCCTTTGCAGGGATTTCTTGTGACCCTCCTCCTCTTGTCAAGCT